TGTTCGATTGTATAAAATATGATGTTTAGTTGTAATTGTAATTCTGGTGTTGTTATTATATGGTCTAATATTTGGCTTTGGTATAGTATTTCTATTCAGAACAGTTTTCTTCTTGTCTCATAGGTGTTTGATTGCATGAGGGATGTATATATGTTTTTGTTTCAGTTGCATTTATATTATTATATCTATTTGGGTTGCCAGATGGATAATAACTATATCCTATATCAAGTAATTTTTCTTGAAATATGACTATACCAGTTTCTTGTAATATTTCTCTTTCAGCTATTATTCAAATAGTTCTTCAGAATAGTCTTGTTTTTCTTCAGGTATTCTATACCAGGAGTAATATATTTTAGCAAAGTTTATTTGTTGTGCTAATAATATTTGTAGTAATTCTTTTTTATTGTATTTAAATATAGTTGTTTGTAAAGTTTAATAATTTTTTTTATTTTTTTAAATCAGGAATTTGTTTCATTTTCTTGTATTTTGTTAAATATATATTTTTGATAATATTCTGTATTGATTTCTTTACTTATCCATAGTAATCTTGCTCTATTAATTCTTTTTTGTAATATATTTTTTACTTGTTTTTGTATATTTTCTAATGTTTTGTAGTATCAATAATTTTACAGGTATTTTAATATTATATATATATTTGTTTAGATGTTAAATAGAATTTTGTTATTTAAATCTATTAAAATGAATGTATATATTTTATAATTTTTGTTGAATTATTGTTATATTTAGGTAATTGATATTTCTACACCATTTTTTGATATTGCCACACTCCTGCTAACTCTAAACCCTAACCAAACTCTAATAATTTATATTGATTTTTATTAACAGGATGTAGCAATATCAAAAAAGAGTGTGGAAATATCAATTTTCTATATATATATATTTTTTTGGTATTAAGATGAGGCCTTGCTCATATCTTTATTAATAATTTTTTAAATAGTTACAATGTAAATTACTACAGCGCAGTTACCGAGGCTTCTAATTGTGGTCTGGGCTAACCATTAAACTACTATAAGTAGTGATTTGTACTAGTACAAATAAAGTTAAAATTACATGCAAGAATAAGAGCTCAGATAGGAAGAAATTTATCTGTAACCTAAACCTACTAGAGTGGTCAAAGACTCACCTAGATTGTGATAGTTAAAACTTCTTTAAGCAAGCAAAAAGAAGAAA